TTCTTCTGTCACAAGCCCATCACTAAGACTGAAATGAAAGATAACCTCCCAGTCATTAACAGACAGAAAGTATCAGTAAACTATTACAGGAGACATTACAGAATATTGGAATGTAACAGTTGTATTCAGGCTAAAGATTGCAATAGGGTCCAAGAGAAGTTAACTCTGAATGGGTAACTGACTTCCATGGTACATTTGTGTTAGCTGCTTTACCCTCTATGTTATGCTTCAAAGAGAAGAGCTTGATTGTCCTTCTCACAGAACGCGGAACAGGGGACTATGTGTTCAGCGCTCATCTGGCCAGTCCCAATCACGTGTCCGATTCTTGTTAACGTGCTATCTCATGAACTGTTGTACCCAATGTCTTCAAATTTGGTGACAACCTACATTGGGTGATTATGCAGACACCAGTCATTTCAGGCATCTTGTATGTGACCAAAAATTATAAAGTAGTAAATATAGATATTCCATTCTTTAGCGGCGAGGGACATTGCCATATCAGTGGCAAACACTTGTTATGCACTGTCATTGCAGGCTCATTATATTATTGACTGAGTGCTCAAATTCCTGTACAGTTTTTGCCAGTGTACATGTTTTCAGGAATAGAGGATAATCCAAGTAGATACATTATTTTGTAGTATTTTTGCCCAACCATGCCATTCTTTTTCATAGAGATCGTCCTTGGGGTACATATATGCATTTTCTGTGGCTGAAAATGTCATGTGACAGTTGTATCAATGTTTTAATAAAATATTGTACAATCAATAAAAATCTTTTTTATCTATTATACGGCCCTCACCACGTGGAGTTACCTCTCTGCTACGCATGCGCAGCCAACCAGGTAAGCACCTAGGCCCGTATCATCATTCCTTCTGCTTTCACTCAAGCATTCACACGTATTTACAACCTGAGTTACAATCTGATTTACTTTGTGTAGAAGAATGTCTGAGACTTCAACAACTGTATGTATGGTCTTTATTTGTTCTTGCGCAAGACAAAGAACCGTTTATTTGACTTTGCAGTCTGTTATTTTCTCATTTCTGTGGCTTTGTATTAAACCTTTAAGTTAGCTTTACCGTGGTTACTTCGACGTTGTTGCTCTTCCATGGAAGTTTAGCGTGCCACGTGGCTGTCATATTGGCGCTATTAACCAAGTATTTCATGTCCCATGGTCGTCGATTCACGAATTTTCACCGTTTTGTACGCTGTATATTTATGCTGCTGGTTCCGCTTTGTTAGCTACATGTTTATTTGTTTGCTTTGTGCATTTACTGGGTGTTCTGTCTGTGGGCAGAATATCCCTAGATAAATGCTTGTAATTGCTTAGAGAAGGTGAGACATCACCCTGATGTCTGCAAACTCTGTATGGCCTTTTCCCCCGGCCCAGAAGAGAAGGGCGTGGATTTCCTTTCTATAACGTAATTCATGAGGTGGGAGGGGAACTTACCCAGGAGGTCCCCTGGCCCAAAGCTAAAAAAGCCAAACAAGCTAAATCTAGGTCTTCGCTAAGTCGATTCCCAATCATCCCAATCTAGTGGTTTTTGATATGTCAATAATCACTCAATTGTTTCAAGCATCATATGGACTCGTCAGAAGTTGTTTGTTCATGAGTCCGCTGGAGGTTCTCCGCCAGGAGATCCTGCCCACTCTGAACAGGGGACCGAAGTGTCTGGGGTGGGATCGCCGAGAGCCCTGCTCGATCCCATAGCCTGGAGGCATCTGTCGATCCTTTGCCTTTGGCTTTGGGTCCAGACGCCTCGGGCTACCCCCGGAGGGTTCGCTTCCCAGTCCCCTCTCGTGCTGGCGCTTGGGTCCGCTTGAGGATTCCTGGGTTCCGTCCCTGCACCCCCCCGCCCCATGAGAGCTGAGGAGTTGGTTCTGCCCGGTCTCCTCCTGTTTCTCGGGACCCGGTCTCGAGTAGTGCTCTTCCTCCTTTGGCTGTCTGGGGGTTTGGCCTCCAACCGGGTGGGGTTCGATCCTCCTAACGCGGGGAGACCTGGAATTCCCAGCGGACGCTGGGGAGGTCAGGAGCCGGAGGGCACTTTCCGCTTCTCGCCGGCTCTCTGGGAGGTGTGGCAACATATTGCCGAGTATATACCCCAAGCCGCCGGTAATCCACTTGTCACCCGGACTCAGCTGAGTTCCGCTTCGCCGGGCGAGGCGCTTGCCCTAGGCAACCTTCGCAGACACTGCCCCAGATCTTGCCTTCCCTGGTGCAGGACATGACGGATCCCCTCCTGGTTGGGACACGCCCGGGTTCAATTTTACCTGAACTTGTTAAGAGGTACCAGCTGGGGACGATTCTCTGTTCTTTGTGCCGTGGTTGACGAGTCGCGTGTTCACTTAGGTCGCCTCGGGAGACTCGGCTTCTCAGGTGCAGCCCCCCCGCTGCCAAGCAAGCGCGAAGTTCCACCGCTGTTTCCTTGCGGCTTCACCCTGCAGCAGGCGCATCGGCCGAGGAAGTCTACTGGAATGCCATGCAGCAGGTGCGGCTGTTGATCCATTAGGCCTACCTTTCCTCTATTCAAAGGTCGGCTCTGGAAGCGGAAGGGAGCACTGGGGACGCTTTTCCCGCATGTTGTCAATTGTCCGGCGCAGGCCCACCTGGCGGGAGACTCTTTATGGTGATGTGCGAGTCATGGATACCGCGACAAAGTTCAGGCTTTGCTGGACAAGTCCACAATAGAGCGCATACCACCGGGCGAGGAACAGGATTTTATTCCACGTACTTCCTCGTTCCGAAGGACGGCAGGTTCCGTCCCATTCTCCGCCTCAAGGGGTTGAATCGCATGCTAGAGGTTCCATCCTTCAAGATGGAGACACTTCGCTCGGTGATCTCCTCTGTTTAGCCCGGTGATTGGCTTACGTCGATCGACCTAAATAATGCGTATCTACATGTGCCAATTCATCCATCGTTCAAGCAGTACCACCGGTTCTCTTATGACGGGATGGGTTACCAATTCACAGTGCTCCCCTTCGGCATATCCATTGCCCCCAGGGTGTTCACCAAGCTCATGTTAGTGCCAGCTACCCTCACAAGGAAGGCGTTGTTACCCTTACCTCGACGACTGGTTGCTCAGCACTTAACTCAGTCAGCGAGCCTAGATTCCACCTACACGGTGATAGACATTCTAGTTCGACTGGGGTGGATCATCAATCAACCTCAACAATTCTGACCTGGTACCCAACCAGGACTTGTTTTTTTCTCGGGGCGCGGTTCACAACTCACAAGGGTCTTGTCTCCTTGTTGCCTGACCGGGTCACCAGAGTACGGGAGATGATGTCTTCGTTCCTCTCCCAGCCCCAGGCACCAGCGCGGACTTGGCTCCGTCTATTGGGTCATATGGCGATAACTATCTCTGTAGTGTGGCGGACGTGGTTGAGGATGCGTCCTATACAGCAAGCTTTGGCGACTCTGTGGCCTCACTCTGAGGATCTGGAGCAGTGTCTCACAGTCCCAGGGTGGTTGTCTCCTCACCTTCAGTGGTGGACCAATGTCGGGAATATCTCCAAGGGGATCCCTTTGGAACTCCCGACGCCAGCTCTTACAGTTCAAACCGATGCGTCCCTCACGGGCTGGGGGGGTGTTCTGGGCAGTCTGTCGGTGTCCGGACTCTGGTCCGAAGCCGAAGCCCTCCTTCACATGAATGTCATGGAACTGAAAGCTGTGCGGTTGGTTTTCGGGCGCTTCCGGGAGCATGTTCAGGGCCAGGTGGTTCGTCTTCAGTTGGACAACCGTACGGCCATTACATACATCCTGAAGCAAGGCGGCACGGTGTCCCTTGCGCTCCTTCGGGAGACGTTGGAATTTCTCCTCTGGTGCAACCAGTGCAACTGTCAGGTGCTTCCTTTTTATCTCCCGGGGCTGAAGAACGTGCGAGCAGACGCTCTCTCTCGCCGGATCCTGGCCCCTCATGAGTGGATGCTCGACCGGCAGATATTCGTAGTTATCTCCCAGTTGTACGGATCATTCCAGGTGGATCTGTTTGCGTCCGGCGGGACGAATCAGATACCCGTGTTCTGCTCTCGAATACCGGACCAGAGGGCGTTGGCTTCCAACGCCTTCCTGCTGGATTGGACGGGCAAAGTGCTCTGGGCATTCCCGCCCCTACCACTCATTCCCCGGGTCCTCTCCCCGCTGTCCACCCAGCCAGCTAGGCTACTTGTGCTACTGGTGCCACTATGGCCGTCACAGAGCTGGTTTCCGGTAATTCTCAGGTTTCTGGCTCAGCCTCCTGTTCTATTACCTTTGCGACCGGACATGCTCACTCAGAACGGCGTGCCATACCCCAATCCAAGGATTCAGTGGGTGGCTTGGTCTCTGTCAGGTCTAGCCTCTAAGCACGCGGAATTCCTTCAGCAGTTGCAGACACAATTCTGGCTTCGAGGCGGGATTCGACAAACGTTCAATATGAGGATAGGTGGTCCCGCTATGCGCGCTGGTGTTCAGATAAGGGGATTGCAGATCCCTTTTCTGCAGATTTAGTCCGAGTATTGGAGTTTTTGCAAGCTCGCTGGAAGAAGGCTTGGCGGCTTCGACCAATCGTGGCTACTCCACCGCTATTTCCACTTTTCACACCCCTGTCGATTGGGATTTGTCAATTGTGCTAGATTGGCTGTCTGGTCCTACGTTCTCACGTCTATCGGCTATTTCCATTCAGTTGTTAACATGGAAGGCCGTATTTCTGGTGGCGGTAGCATCTGGGCGTAGGGTTGGCGACTTACATGCTTTGTCGGCAGACCCGGCGCTGACTGTGTTCCATCCAGATCGTGTCAGTAGTCGCCTCCCGGATACTTACCGTCCGAAGATCGATCACGCTTTCCATGTGACAGCTCCTATCGAACTTCCTACTCTTACCCAGCCTTCCACATCGGGGACCTCTGCAACAAGCACTCACCCGTTGGATGTCCGAAAGACTCTCACGGTCTATATCAAACGAACACAAGGGATCCGTACGAGTACCCATCTGTTCTGCTGTTACGGTGGCGGGAAGGCCAGGATGCCGGCAAGCAAACAGACCCTGTCTTGTAACGGTCATTTGTGCTGCTTATCAGGCTAAGGGCAAGCCTCCCCCTGACGGGTTGAAGGCTCACTCGGTCAGGGCAGTGGCCACGTCAAAGGCTTTTGCATCGGCACTACCCATTGAAGAGATATGCTCTGCCGCTATTTGGAGCAGGCCTAGCACTTTTATCAGTCACTATCAGCTCGATACACATTCACATGATCATGCACGTTTTGGCCGTTCTGTTCTCTCCAGTGGACAGTGTCCTGCCACCCTGACCGAGTGAGTCTTGGTTATCTGGACAGTTGACGCTGCTTTCAATTGTGTATTATTGATATATCCGCTGGTGTGTTATCTAACTCCTTTCGATTCTCTCTGGAGATTATGGTCGGTTGTGAGTTGTTTTTTCCCCTTATGGTGCTCTTTAATAGATCATGATGTGGGCAGGGTTTTTACTTTCGCACTGTGTGCTAATAGCTGTGCTTAACCTATGAGGTCGGATCTAAGTACCTATCCTCCCTGTCGGTTACCCTCCCATAATGCCTCTCGCGGAAGCTTCGGGACACGTGACGGGTGAGTGTTGTGGCGTCTGTTACATTATTCCTAACGATCGCTATTTATGTGTACTTTGACAGAATTCCCTCCTCCCTGGCCTCCGGTCTTTGGGAGTCTGAGTTAATGCATATATGTACCCCAAGGACGATCTCTATGAAAAAGAATTAGCTAATCCTGTATGAATTCTTTGAAGAGAGTCTTCTAGCTAATCCTGTTCACTGTTTTATTCAGCGGAAGGAATGATGAACGGGCCTAGGTGAAGATAGCAGGAGGTAACTCCAATATGATAATTAAAAAGATTTTTATTGATTGTACAATATTTTTATTAAAACATTGATACATCTGTCACATGACATTTTCAGCCACAGAAAATGCATATATGTACCCCAAGGACGACTCTCTTCAAAGAATTGGAAACCTCTACAGGTTAAGCTAAATTTAGAGACAGCTGTACCCGTGGTAACCTGATCAGCCAGATTCTTGTTTTGTAGGTCACATCCGAGGGGAGAAGGTGGGACAGATAGCGATCATCTCCCGACTCAACTTCACCGTGTTCAGTGAAGCTGTAACCAAGTGCTGCTACTCACAAAATGAGTACAAGGTGGCATTTGTCGGGGTGAGCAGATTTCTGGAACAGATTTCCATCCCAATGTCAGTACCCACCTCTAGATAAGTTATTATGGCATGTCACAGACAACATGCAGTGATGGTGATGTAGGTCTTCAAGGATATATCAGGGATTCTTAAACTAAGCTCAATTTGGGGATGTTTCTAAAGTTCTTTTTTTGTAGATTAAATCTTGCCACTGATTTCAATGCAATAGTCTACCTATGAGCTTAAAGTCCCCTTTCTCTTTATCACAAATATTTGACATGTTTACAGTGAGATACAAGTCGCTGCCAATATGTTAGAACTGTATGACATGAAGGGAATATGAAGACCAATGCAATTTGGGAATTTTACTGACAGTTAGTGCAGAATAGTGGTTGAATGTTGATCTCTGGAATGTCGAGATAACTCCATGTTCTACCATCAGTGGCCACAGACGATGATGATGATTGGATTATCATGATGATGATGATGATTGGTCATCACTGCCTTCTGGTCAGCATGATACGGCTGTTATCACTGACTACTGATAACAATAATCATGAATGGATCCAGACTACTGGTCTATAAAGTGCCAATGTTACACATGACACCTCTTGGGCCAAATAACCCATCTGATCAAGCTCAATGAGTTGTAATTGTTCTGCCCTCGACAGTAATGTCAACTCTATGTTCTACAGGGCACAGACAACTTCGGGTTCCCCACGATCATGGATATCTACGTGCTGATGTTGACACCAGAAGACAGGAAGAAAGGTAGTCACCCATACTCTCAGACTTTTCAACTATTACTAAAGAAAAACATAACAGATTATGAAACACTAATGCTATTGAGATGGGCATAAGATCAGCCAGCTCTTGTGCAAACTCTTAACACAGTGAGTAAGTTAGATGATCCCACTCTATTCTGTAGTTTCCTTCCTGAATGGAATTCTCATTGTAATTACACATGCTCACCTCTTAAGTAAAATGTTTGTGAATTTGTGAAGGGAACTAGTCAGTTAATGTTTACTACTGCATACATGCAACATTTCCAGAACCCTGATGTCTCCACTTCATTTGCAGCTTCAGACGCAGCTTCAGACTGCTGTTGTGCATTTATTTTTCCATAACTCTCTATCCACTCGAAAAAAGATAAAGTTGACAGAAAAAAATGGAAAATAATACTTAAGGAGTATAATATTTTGTAGCGGAACAGATTGGTTCAAACCAAGTTGTTTTCAGAGTTTATGTGGTTGGTGTATCACATTATCACTGACATGGGCGCATGGTCTGGTACATGTGAGGGACCTGCAAGAGTTGTATGCTCCCCAGAGAGTTGAAATTGATAATGCAATGTGCCGTTTTAGATTCACATCCAATGATCGAGTGAAAAACAAAGAGCCTTTAAGCAGCGGAGCTGAATATTGGCGCTATATAAATATTAGCATGATGATAATAATTGAAAAATGGGTGGTCCATTGAGCATGGAGAAACGAAACCAAGGAATACCATTTATAACCTCTAGGTTAGCACCATTCACCCAGCAGAGATCAAATACAGTTGATTTCTGTCTCATTTCAATAGGACATGTTATTGTCAGCGACACACTGCTGAGAAGGAAATTCTTGTGCACTCTGATCATCATTGTGATGTAGCACCATCGGAATTTACTGGTGAATAGCATGTGGCATATTATTAATTGACTTGTTATCGTTCATTATTGCAAGTGTTTAACTTCTACTTGGAACTTCTTCTTCATCATAAGCAACTGTAGCTGGAAACTAATATGAATACCACCAAGCCTCTCAACAAATTTGCAGACAAGGAGACACATACATTATATCTATTTGGATGCAAATGGTATCTTTAGGTCCATTGAAACTGTGGTGACAAGTTATCCCTTACCCTTTTACTGCTTTCCTTATCCTGACGATTGATTGTGAGTGCACAATGCCATTTAGAAAGTGGTCAAATGTCTGCGATCTAACCCACTGAGCCACTGCATCTTGCACAAAAGTGGAAATCGGACAACTGGTAGTGTAGATCACACTTCCTCAGTAAAGTACAGATTCTAGTGCTTTTGTCAGGTTGAGTCCCATCCAGGATTTGAACCCATACTCTCAGTGTCCGTCACCTAATCACCAGCACACTAAATCAGCGATCTAACCCACTCAGCCACTGTTCCTTCCACAAAGAAACGGAAATCGGACAACTGGTAGTCTAGATCATATACTGTGTGTACCCCTCTGACAAATATAAACTGGCACGGGGAAAGCTATGAATACACAATGCCATTTAGAAAGTGGTCTGATGTAACACAGATTATATTTGGGATTGCTCTTCCTCCGTTCAGTGGATGATTGATTGGTCAGGACAGTGGTAATAAACATCAAGAGGGGATAATTTGAGATCATGAGGGAATGGTTCCTGGGGTTAGTGTAGGAAATGGATCACTGTAGATACAGAGGATGAAGAAGACATTGGTCCATATCAACACCTGTTAATGTGACAGTGTCTAGTGCAAACAATTTCACTGGGACGTAAAACATACAGATTCAAAGAAAGTTTTTTTATTTGAGAAAGCTGCATTTTCACATGTTCAGTCAATGATCCTAATTTATATTTTTACAGAAAACCGGACAATAAAGAATGTGTTTATTAGCAAGTTTCCTGGCTTAGCTGAGTTAGAGAAGTATGCCACGAAAGTGTCCGACTTGGAGCTGATGGGGAAGATCCGCATAGTGAGGACGTTTCACCACAACATACCTATGTGTCTCAGCAAGATCTCAGCCAAGTGTGTCAGCGACCTCAGACAAGCAGGTACGTCAAGCACAGAGTAACTACTCATACTGCACCATCAGCAGTGTCATCATCATGCCATGCAACACTGTATTTTGTGTAATGTTTTTTTTTAGAGGTATATTTTATCTTCTTTCTTTATTTTTCGAAAAATTAGAAATGGCAGTAAGAGCAAGGTGATATATTATGCATTTAAGTATGAAAACAGTTCAATATATTGTGTAAGATGAAAGACAGTGTACATATTGAAATTTGTTGAGAGGCTTGGTGGTATTCACATTAGTTTCCAGCTACAGTTGCTTTTGATGAACCACAATTATTATATTTCTTGTCATAAGTCTAGGTCTTTGTATGTGTCCTTCACCTATAACAAGGTCATCATTTGTGAATGTTATGGAGGGAATATGTGACAAAGAAATATGTGTTTTACGCTGTGTTTCTAGATATCATCTTCAGTACTGCACACAAGGCTAAGGGACTGGAGTTCTCAACAGTCCAGGTGACAGATGACTTCATCAATGCCTCAAGTCAAAGTGCTCGCATAGATCTCCGAAGTCTCAGTGAGTACCTTTTCTCTAACCTCAAACAGAGGATCTTCTAAATATAGCTAGCATCTTTCTGGATCTTGTGCAGGTCATATTGGTTGGTCACACGTGCACAACATACTGGTTGATCACATGCACAACATACTGGTTGATCACATGCAGATCATACTGGTTGATCACATGCAGATCATAGTGGTTGATCACATGCAGATCATACTAGTTGATCACATACAGATCATAGTGGTTGATCACATGCAGATCATACCGGTTGATCACATGCAGATCAAAGTAGTTGATCACATACAGATCATACTGGTTGATCACATGCAGATCATAGTGGTTGATCACATGCAGGTCATAGTGGTTGATCACATGCAGGTCATACTGGTTGATCACATGCAGATCAAAGTAGTTGATCACATGCAGATCATAGTGGTTGATCACATGAAGGTCAAACTGGTTGATCACATGCAGATCATAGTGGTTGATCACATGAAGGTCATACTGGTTGATCACATGCAGATCATAGTGGTTGATCACATGCAGATCATAGTGGTTGATCAGATGCAGGTCATAGTGGTTGATCAGATGCAGATCATAGTGGTTGATCAGATGCAGGTCATACTGGTTGATCACATGCAGGTCATACTGGTTGATCACATGCAGATCATAGTGGTTGATCAGATGCAGATCATTGTGGTTGATCAGATGCAGGTCATACTGGTTGATCACATGCAGATCATAGTGGTTGATCAGATGCAGGTCATACTGGTTGATCACATGCAGATCATACTGGTTGATCACATGCAGATCATAGTGGTTGATCAGATGCAGATCATACTGGTTGATCAGATGCAGATCATAGTGGTGGATCAGATGCAGGTCATACTGGTTGATCAGATGCAGATCATAGTGGTTGATCACATGCAGATCATAGTAGTTGATCAGATGCAGATCATAGTGGTTGATCAGATGCAGGTCATACTGGTTGATCACATGCAGATCATAGTGGTTGATCACATGCAGATCATAGTGGTTGATCAGATGCAGGTCATACTGGTTGATCAGATGCAGGTCATACTGGTTGATCACATGCAGATCATAGTGGTTGATCAGATGCAGGTCATACTGGTTGATCACATGCAGGTCATACTGGTTGGTCACATGAAGGTCATAGTGGTTGATCACATGCAGATCATAGTGGGTGATCAGATGCAGGTCATAGTGGTTGATCACATGCAGATCATACTGGTTGATCACATGCAGATCATAGTGGTTGATCACATGCAGATCATACTGTTGATCACATGCAGATCATAGTAGTTGATCAGATGCAGATCATAGTGGTTGATCAGATGCAGGTCATACTGGTTGATCACATGCAGATCATAGTGGTTGATCACATGCAGATCATAGTGGTTGATCAGATGCAGGTCATACTGGTTGATCAGATGCAGGTCATACTGGTTGATCACATGCAGGTCATACTGGTTGGTCACATGAAGGTCATAGTGGTTGATAACATGCAGATCATAGTGGTTGATCAGATGCAGGTCATAGTGGTTGATCACATGCAGATCATAGTGGTTGATCACATGAAGGTCATACTGGTTGATCACATGCAGATCATAGTGGTTGATCACATGCAGATCATACTGGTTGATCACATGCAGATCATAGTGGTTGATCACATGCAGGTCATACTGGGTGGCCACACATATGCAGGTCATAATAACCTCTAGCTACTTTGACATCCTTTAACATTCTTCTCATCCTTGTCCTGTGATGCTTCATTATATCTGCCAGTTGACTTCATTATATCTGCCAGTTGACTTCATTATATCTGCCAGTTGACTTCATTATATCTGCCAGCTGACTTCATTATATCTGCCAGTTGACTTCATTATCTCTGCCAGTTGACTTCAGAAATCCATTATGTATTATTATATTGATATAAATTATTTTTACTTTTTATCCTCAGTTTTTAGGTTATTGTTTGCAGACAGCTGTTGTGAAAAGTTAGTGTCTGTTATCCAGCTGCACCCTGATTACACCATTTTATCTGTTTGATAGGGAACCCAGCATGTATACCTGCAGATGAAGCTAATCTACTTTACGTGGCTGTCACCCGTGCCAAGAACGCACTCGTGCTGTCCCCGATGCTGGTGAAAGTGCTCCAGAATAATGGGGTAAGGTTACAGTGCCACTACAGGCCCTGGGAAGCTCTGACCTATTGACCTCTCTGATTATTTCATCTTCATCTTGAGGTCGTGAGTCCCTGAGGCGGTGGTGTAGCTTGGTGGCTACAGTGTGCTGGGTTTTAGTGTTTGGCCTTGACATTACATTGGTGATTGTTGATATCAGCATTATGGTATTTGTGAATATATACGAGGGTGGCAGAGGAGTTCAGAGACTGAGCATATATACATTCATGCCCAACAGTTTGCATGTGTTAGGCCACCTATAGCACAGGAATGGAAGAGTAATCAGAGACATACATCATATTTGCTAAAATATTGTATAAGCATAATTGCTGGGAGATACCGGGAATTCCTGTATTTAGGCTCACAAGAAATTTAGCCCATGGGCTAAAATACAGGATTTTTTTCGTATTTAAGCCCATGGGCTTAAATTTGAATTTAATTCTTGGGTGTTTAGAGTGACGTCATACGTCCCTTCCCAAACGCACTAGGCAAACTTCGACGTTTTTAACTTTAGTACTGCCTCCACGAGGTTATCACGTTTACATGTTGGACACCGGTTACAGGGCAGTTATTAGAGACAGACATTGATCATCTTAACCCCTGTGATGTGCATGCAGTTGCAGTTAAATTGAACCACGTGGTCATTCAATGTTGAAGTTATTGACCAGTTTCCTGATAAATGAGTTTTAAAAAACCCGATTCTTTTTGTTTTATCAACATATTGCATGTGCATTTTGGAATTTAAGCCCTGGGCTTAAATATGGTTAAAATATTTCATCACTAGAACAGTGATTTTCCGTATTTAAGCCCAGAGCTTAAGTACGGGAATTCCCGATAAGAATATTTGCAATGTGGGTTTTGGTTTGTGTATTAGTGCAGCGGCTTATGTAGCAACAATGCTTTCTGTGAGAAGTACATGTTAATTTTTGGAACCATTGATAATTGTAATCAGTATTGCGTATGGATTCAGAAAAACCATGGTCCCATTTTTTCTGATGATTATAAGTGTCATTCTGGGGTAACTGAACCTCGGTACCCATAATCGAGCTACAACACCAATGTGAGAAAAACATGTTTTTATAAAACAATTACAACATAGGCATGTGGTATATCAAAATGTACCTTGCGATGTGTGTTTTACAACTACCATTATATATCATGAATCTCAAAAAGATATGTATGCATAACAATCAATATGATGATAATTGCTTCTGCCAAAACCGAAGGTTTGTTGCCGAGGGTATGCATTCAACCCTGTTTGTGTAAGTGTATTTATGTGTTAGTATCTTTACTCAAAAACCACTAGATGGATTTCAATGAAACTTACTGGATCTCTTGGGTATGTCCCATGTCCCAAAGGGGCAAATCAGTTAGATGTTGAAGGTCTTATTCAATTACGTAAATCAACGAAAATAAACGGTACGGCATTGAAATTATGTAGAGCAATACATGAGTATCTTGTGCGCATTTCACAAGAATGATAGCCATCATAGTCATTACTGCTGTCCACGAGGTGACGTTGACGTTACTTCCTTGTATGACCACCTCTTACTGCTAGAACTGCATGACACCTTCTTGACACAGATTGAATCAGTAGTTGGATGTTTCGTTGTGGAATCCTTCTCAATTTCCTCCGGCAGCATGTTGAACAATAGTTACTGTTAAAGCCTCAATGGCGGATTATGACTTTGATGTACACGTTTATCTATCTGATCCCACAGGTTTCAGATCTGGAGATCTGTAGGGCCAGGGGAGGACATTAATGTTTTATTGTCCAGGTAGTCCCCTGTAGCACATGCTGTGTGAGGTCTGGCGTTGTCCTGTTGGTACAGTTCCCTTTGGCAGTCGACAAGGCGATGCACGTGAGGACAGAAAACCTGGTCGATATATCGACCGGCCGTACGATTGCCTTGGACGAGCACCAATTCCGATCTGCAGGTGTAGGAGATGGCTCCCCACATCATCGCACCATCTCCACGAAATCTGTCCACTTGCCTGATGCAGTTGGTTGCAAAATGTTCTTGTGCTGTGTCCCAGGCGGAGCGATGTTAGTCACGTAGATGGGTTACCCGGATGTAGTGATCTTGGGCTAGTGTGATGACGCATGGTCTTCCTGGTCTTGGATGGTCATTAGTCGAAATGGAATGCACAAAAGGATCCTACAGTTTTTGTCCTGGGAATAATGTTGAAGGTCCTAGCCACGACACTCTTGGATTCACCACCTTGTAATCGTCCAATGGCAATATTTCGGTGGGCACCGTTGAGACGTCCCATTTTCTCATCCAGTATTTGCAAGGGACTTGGATGAATTTGCGAGAGGCATTTTGTTCTTTTATAGTCATAGGTTGTAGTCATGTGTTGCACTTGAAAAGCAATAATTGCGGCTTTTTTTTTGATAGATAAAACCATTCAAAATCAAGTTTTTGTGGTTGCATTCGCTCCACGCATGTTCATCTAAGCCCTACCAACAGCAAGGTTGCAACCCTCAAAGCATGCTTAATTTGACATATGCGTACAAACTTTCGATCATTATTTCCTAATTATATTTTGCGTTAGTTTTTTTGAAAAGTGTATGTTAAAGTACATGTACACAGAGGTACTTTGCAAATAATCGCAACGGAAAATATTTATTATATCTCAAAAAGTTATGGATGGGATTTGAATGAATCTTGGTGGTTATGTTAGGCATGACACAAGGGTTATCTGCGTACCGTTTGGTGAAAGTACATTAAAGTACAAGTACACAGTAGTACTTTAAAAATATAATAGTGAAAGGAGATTGCTGTGCAAGGTGGGGGCATATTCTCCAACGAGGGCCCTTCAAGTTTCCATATTAAGAAAATATATGCGTAGAATTCATGCTTGTGTTTGTATCACAAATAATGTCGAAGCTTGTATTTCAACAGCATATTTTGTTCTTGCAGGTTAATGACGGATTGATTGACTATGCAAGTTACTCAACAATGTGAAAGTAAAAAATAAATATACTAGTTCACATTATATATATTGCACTTGCATACCCCACTTGTAATATGTAGTTTTCTGTTCACTGTGATATCATTTGTCACTCCTGTATTAATACATTCAGTTTGTATTGACAGCAGATTTGGCTTTATGTCATTTGTCATTTAATTACCCAGACACGAGTGTCAGTGTGTCAATTCTGACTGTACTGGTAGGCCTGATTTGACACTTGTGCACGACTATATATTAGTCACATTAACCTTACCTGGGTACTATTATTACTACGTACATAAGTGTATCATGGTAGTATATATTATGAAATGGGAGAATACATTAATTGAATAAATGGTTTCCATCAATATAGGCCAATACTTACAATTATGGTGTCTGATGAAGGAAAGACAATATTTGATTAATTTATATGATTATGTCATATTTTATGTCACCAAATTGAACTTAGAAGCATATTATGTGGTTATCGCTATGTCATACTTTATAAGCTGCCTTTTGATATGCTACATGACTATGTTGTGATAGGTTTATGAAAACATGTTTTTCTCCAAATGGTGTCGCAAGCAATTTGGGGAACTCATATTCAATCACCCCACAATGACACTTATAGCAAACAGAAAAAATGGAACCATGTTTTTCCTGAATCCATACACAATAGTGATTACAATTAGTATTGGTTCCAAAAATTAACATGAAATTTCCGCGGAATTACACAAGCCCCTGTACTATATGATCTATTTCTAATGTATATCCTTATTCTCAGTGGATTAGTGAGGATGACTTTTGCAGTTATCTTATGATAAGGCTCATCAGTATGTTCACAGCAAGGTGCTGTTCCCAGGGCTGCTACTGTTGATTGAAGACAGTGACCCATCTCTCTTGTATTTCAGTTGAGCTGAGCCACCACTCAACTGATTGTTGTTACATTCCATGTCTGTTTCCGTGGCTCATTGTCTGTTTTCAGATGCAATTGTTCTGCTGCAAAACAACAATCTTAATGTTTGTTTCCCTTTACTCAGTTAGGTATAGAGCTCATTCTTCCATTCTGCTCACTTTTTGGGTAGAGGATGAGAATCTTGGTAGATTTCAATTGATCGTGACCAATGACTGTGGATCAACTAATTTGTAGTTTGTAATGGGAAAAAAATAATCAGCCAAAATAGGCAGTATGAAGCAAGTCAAAGATTACATGACCAGTGTTGAACTGGCCTAGCCTGTCATATCAATAAATATTGATGAAATTTAAATCTAGTTGATGTTTTAATAACACATTTGTCAAGTATTTCAGGCATATGACATGTAGATTCAGGTGGATGCATTATGAAACTTGTGTTTCTTTCATATCAACAGGAGAAGTTTGAATACCCAGTGAGCAGCGATCACCTACAGAACATCGGCGACCCTTTCAAGTGTCGCGAGACAGATGCGGAGTTCAAACCACAGGCTTTGACACTCAGACGACAAGACATAACTGTGGTAAGTTGGAACTCCTTCCACCACTTACACTATTGTGGCTTCGTGTGCTCCCGTGGATTCTCATTAATCATGTAGGCTAGTCCTTATACACCCCGTACTGTACTGGTCATGGGGACTAGTCCTTATACACCCATTACTGTACTGGTCATGTTGATTGGTCCTTATACTGTACTGGTCATGGGGACTAGTCCTTATACACCCCGTACTGTACTGGTCATGTTGATTGGTCCTTATACACCCCATACTGTACTGGTCATGTTGATGGGTCCCTATACACCCCATACTGTACTGGTCATGTTGATTGGTCCTTATACACCCAATACTGTACTGGTCATGTTGATTGGTCCTTATACACCCTATACTGTACTGTCATGTTGATTGGTCCTTATACACCCCATACTGTACTGTCATGTTGATTGGTCCTTATACACCCCATACTGTACTGTCATGTTGATTGGTCCTTATACACCCCATACTGTAATGGCCATGTTGATTGGTGGTTCTTATACACCCCGTACTGTACTGGTCATGTGAATTGGTCCTTATACACCTTGTACTGTACTGGTCATGTTGATTGCTCCTTATACACCCTATACTGTACTGTCATGTTGATTGCTCCTTATACATCCCATACTGTACTGTCATGTTGATTGCTCCTTATACACCCTATACTGTACTGTCATGTTGATTGGTCCTTATACACCCCATACTGTACTGTCATGTTGATTGGTCCTTATACACCCTATACTGTACTGTCATGTTGATTGGTCCTTATACACCCTATACTGTACTGTCATGTTGATTGGTCCTTATACACCCTATACTGTACTGTCATGTTGATTGGTCCTTATACACCCCGTACTGTACTGTCATGTTGATTGGTCCTTATACACCCTATACTGTACTGTCATGTTGATTGGTCCTTATACACCCGTACTGTACTGTACTGTCATGTTGATTGGTCCTTATACACCCCGTACTGTACTGTCATGTTGATTGGTCCTTATACACCCTATACTGTACTGTCATGTTGATTGGTCCTTATACACCCGTACTGTACTGTCATGTTGATTGGTCCTTATACACCCCATACTGTACTGTCATGTTGATTGGTCCTTATACACCCCATACTGTACTGTCATGTTGATTGTTCCTTATACACCCCATACTGTACTGTCATGTTGATTGGTCCTTATACGCCCCATACTGTAATGGCCATGTTGATTGGTCCTTATACACCCATACATACATGTGACTTATACACCCCATACTGTACTGGTCATGTGAATTGGTCCTTATACACCCCATACTGTACTGGTCATGTTGATTGGTCCTTATACACCCCATACTGTACTGGTCATGTTGATTGGTCCTTATACACCCCATACTGTACTGTCATGTTGATTGGTCCTTATACACCCCATACTGTACTGTCATGTTGATTGGTCCTTATACACCCTATACTGTACTGTCATGTTGATTGGTCCTTATACACCCCATACTGTACTGTCATGTTGATTGGTCCTTATACACCCCATACTGTACTGTCATGTTGATTGGTCCTTATACACCCTATACTGTACTGTCATGTTGATTGGTCCTTATACACCCCATACTGTACTGTCATGTTGATTGGTCCTTATACACCCTATACTGTACTGTCATGTTGATTGTTCCTTACACACCCCATACTGTACTGTCATGTTGATTGGTCCTTATACGCCCCATACTGTAATGGCCATGTTGATTGGTCCTTATACACCCCATACTGTACTGGTCATGTGAATTGGTCCTTATACACCCCATACTGTACTGGTCATGTTGATTGGTCCTTATACACCCCATACTGTACTGGTCATGTTGATTGGTCCTTATACACCCCATACTGTACTGTCATGTTGATTAGTCCTTATACACCCCGTACTGTACTGTCATGTTGATTGGTCCTTATACACCCTATACTGTACTGTCATGTTGATTGGTCCTTATACACCCTATACTGTACTGTCATGTTGATTGGTCCTTATACACCCCGTACTGTACTGTCATGTTGATTGGTCCTTATACACCCTATACTGTACTGTCATGTTGATTGGTCCTTATACACCTTATACTGTACTGTCATGTTGATTGGTCCTTATACACCCCATACTGTACTGTCATGTTGATTGGTCCTTATACTGTACTGTCATGTTGATTGGTCCTTATACACCCCATACTGTACTGTCATGTTGATTGGTCCTTATACACCCCATACTGTACTGGTCATGTTGATTGGTCCTTATACACCCCATACTGTACTGGTCATGTGAATTGGTCCTTATACACCCCATACTGTACTGGTCATGTTGATTGGTCCTTATACACCCCATACTGTAATGGCCATGTTGATTGGTCCTTATACACCCCATACTGTACTGTCATGTTGATTGGTCCTTATACACCCCATACTGTACTGTCATGTTGATTGGTCCTTATACACCCCATACTGTACTGTCATGTTGATTGGTCCTTATACACCCCATACTGTACTGTCATGTTGATTAGTCCTTATACACCCCATACTGTACTGGTCATGTTGATTGGTCCTTATTATCCCCGCAACGCATTTTGTGGGGGGTATTAAAATGGACTCCGTGCGTGCGTGCGTGCGCGCGTACGCAGTCGCGTCGTCGTACGTGCGCACGTCCGTCCGTGCACATTTGTCTTTTCCGGAGCAGAACTCTAAAACCGTTCAATATTTCTTCACCAAACTTGGCACATAGATAGATCTGGTGGTGTACTGGTGCCTTTTGGTAGTTTTGGAATTCTGAATAAAATATTTTTGGCATTTCCATGGCAACAAGTTCGACTTAGCCTGAAATTAGTGGTAGTGCTCTTTTCCGGAGCAGAACTCTAAAACCGTTCGATATTTCTTCACCAAACTTGGCACATAGATAGATCTGGTGGTGTACTGGTGCCTTTTGGTTGTTTTGGAATTCTGAATAAAATATTTTTAGCATTTCCATGGCAACAAGTTTGACTTAGCCTGAAATTAGTGGTAGTGCTCTTTTCCGGAGCAGAACTCTTAAACCGTTCACGATTTCTTCATCAAACTTGGCACATAGATAGATCTGGTGGTGAACTGGTGCCTTTTGAAAGTTTTGGAATCCTGAATAAAATATTTTTGGCTTTTCCGTGGCAACAAGTTTGACTTAGCCTGAAATTAGTGGTAGTGCTCTTTTCCGGAGCAGAACTCTTAAACCGTTCACTATTTCTTCACCAAACTTGGCACATAAATTGGTCTGGTGGTGTACTGGTGCCTTTTGGTAGTTTGGGATTTTTGAATAAAATATGTTTTGCATTTCCATGGCAACAAGTTTGACATAGACTGAAATTGGTGATAGTGCTCCTTTCTGGAGCAGAGCTTTAAAAACCTTTCAATACTCTCCTTCCACTTTTCTATATACACACCTAAATATTTGACATAACCATAACTCGTAAACATAATCATGAAGAGTATTTTGCCATTGCGGGGGATATTGATGACTTTGTCTTCTTGTACACCCTATACTGTACTGTCATGTTGATTGGTCCTTATACACCCTGTACTCTACTGGTCATGTGGATTAGTCCTTATACACCCCATACTGTACTGGTCATGTTGATTGGTCCTTATTATCCCCGCAACGCATTTTGTGGGGGGTATTAAAATGGACTCCGTGCGTGCGTGCGTGCGTCGCGTGCGTCGCGTCGCGTAAGGCGTCGCAGTGCGTGCGTCGCGGCGTACGTACGTGAGTACGTCCGTCCGTGCACATTTGTCTTTTCCGGAGCAGAACTCTAAAACCGTTCACGATTTCTTCATCAAACTTGGCACATAGATAGATCTGGTGGTGTACTGGTGCCTTTTGGTAGTTTTGGAATTCTGAATAAAATATTTTTAGCATTTCCATGGCAACAGGTTCGACTTAGACTGAAATTAGTGGTAGTGCCCTTTTCCGGAGCAGAACTCTAAAACCGTTCAATATTTCTTCACCAAACTAGACACATAGATTGGTCTGGTGGTGTACTGGTGCCTTTTGGTAGTTTTGGAATTCTGAATAAAATATTTTTGGCGTTTCCATAGCAACAAGTTTGACTTAGCCTGAAATTAGTGGTAGTGCTCTTTTCCGGAGCAGAACTCTTAAACCGTTCACGATTTCTTCATCAAACTTGGCACATAGATAGATCTGGTGGTGAACTGGTGCCTTTTGAAAGTTTTGGAATCCTGAATAAAATATTTTTGGCGTTTCCATGGCAACAAGTTCGACTTAGACTGAAATTAGTGGTAGTGCTCTTTTCCGGAGCAGAACTCTAAAACTGTTCGATATTTCTTCACCAAACTTGGCACATAAATAGATCTGGTGGTGTAGTGGTGCCTTTTGGTTGTTTTGGAATTCTGAATAAAATATTTTTGGCATTTCCATGGCAACAAGTTTGACTTAGCCTGGAATTGGTGGTACATGCAAATTTGTCTTTTCCGGAGCAGAACTCTAAAACCGTTCCATATTTCTTCACCAAACTTGGCACATACATGGATCTGGTGGTGTACTGGTGCCTTTTGGTAGTTTTGGAATTCTGAATAAAATATTTTTGGCGTTTCCGTGGCAACAAGTTTGACTTAGACTGAAATTGGTGGTTGTGCTCTTTTCCGGAGCAGAACTCTAAAACCATTCACTATTTCTTCACCAAACTAGACACATAGATTGCTCTGGTGGTGTACTGGTGCCTTTTGGTAGTTTTGGAAATCTCAATAAAATATTTTTAGCATTTCCATGGCAACAGGTTCGACTTAGACTGAAATTAGTGGTAGTGCCCTTTTCCGGAGCAGAACTCTAAAACCGTTCACTATTTCTTCACCAAACTAGACACATAGATTGGTCTGGTGGTGTACTGGTGCCTTTTGGTAGTTTTGGAATTCTGAATAAAATATTTTTGGCGTTTCCATAGCAACAAGTTTGACTTAGCCTGAAATTAGTGGTAGTGCTCTTTTCCGGAGCAGAACTCTTAAACCGTTCACGATTTCTTCATCAAACTTGGCACATAGATAGATCTGGTGGTGAACTGGTGCCTTTTGAAAGTTTTGGAATCCTGAATAAAATATTTTTGGCTTTTCCGTGGCAACAAGTTTGACTTAGACTGAAATTGGTGGTTGTGCTCTTTTCCGGAGCAGAACTCTTAAACCATTCACTATTTCTTCACCAAACTAGACACATAGATTGCTCTGGTGGTGTACTGGTGCCTTTTGGTAGTTTTGGAATTCTCAATAAAATATTTTTAGCATTTCCATGGCAACAGGTTCGACTTAGACTGAAATTAGTGGTAGTGCCCTTTTCCGGAGCAGAACTCTAAAACCGTTCACTATTTCTTCACCAAACTAGACACATAGATTGGTCTGGTGGTGTACTGGTGCCTTTTGGTAGTTTTGGAATTCTGAATTAAATATTTTTGGCGTTTCCATAGCAACAAGTTTGACTTAGCCTGAAATTAGTGGTAGTGCTCTTTTCCGGAGCAGAACTCTTAAACCGTTCACGATTTCTTCATCAAACTTGGCACATAGATAGATCTGGTGGTGAACTGGTGCCTTTTGAAAGTTTTGGAATCCTGAATAAAATATTTTTGGCTTTTCCGTGGCAACAAGTTTGACTTAGCCTGAAATTAGTGGTAGTGCTCTTTTCCGGAGCAGAACTCTTAAACCGTTCACTATTTCTTCACCAAACTTGGCACATAAATTGGTCTGGTGGTGTACTGGTGCCTTTTGGTAGTTTGGGATTTTTGAATAAAATATGTTTTGCATTTCCATGGCAACAAGTTTGACATAGACTGAAATTGGTGATAGTGCTCCTTTCTGGAGCAGAGCTTTAAAAACCTTTCAATACTCTCCTTCCACTTTTCTATATACACACCTAAATATTTGACATAACCATAACTCGTAAACATAATCATGAAGAGTATTTTGCCATTGAGGGGGATATTGATGACTTTGTCTTCTTGTACACCCTATACTGTACTGTCATGTTGATTGGTCCTTATACACCCTGTACTCTACTGGTCATGTGGATTAGTCCTGATACACCCTATACTGTACTGTCATGTTGATTGGTCCTTATACACCCTGTACTCTACTGGTCATGTGGATTATTCCTGATACACCCCGTACTGTACTGGTCATGTTGATTGGTCCTTATACACCCCATACTGTACTGCCATGTTGAGAAGTCCTTATACACCCTGTACTCTACTGGTCATGTGGATTATTCCTTATACACCCCGTACTGTACTCATGTGGATTGGTCCTTTGTTTTCTGGATCAGTGCTTCTATTACCTCACACATTGTACAAATAGTTTCGTTTAGTGCTTCATTTAGTGTACCACCCACAATATACATTTTCTCCAACATTTGGTATGATTCACATGCTTATTATACAACCTGAGCTCTATCAATTCCTGATGAAAATCTATTCAGAGGTAAATGATCTCATTCTCAACCATTACAGATTTAATAAAGGATAATTTGTTATCCCCCGCAACGCGTTTTGCGGGGGGTATTAAAATGGACTCCGTCCGTCCGTCCGTGCACATTTGTCTTTTCCGGAGCAGAACTCTAAAACCATTCAATATTTCTTCCCCAAACTTGGCACATACATGGATCTGGTGGTGTACTGGTGCCTTTTGGTAGTTTTGGAATTCTGAATTAAATATTTTTGGCGTTTCCATGGCAAAAAGGTCGACTTTGACTGAAATTGGTGGTAGTGCTCTTTTCTGGAGCAGAACTCTAAAACCGTTCACTATTTCATCACCAAACTTGGCACATAGATAGATCTGGTGGTGCTCTTGTGCCTTTTGATAGTTTTGGAATTCTGAATAAAATATTTTTGGCGTTTCCATGGCAACAAGTTCGACTTAGACTGAAATTGGTGGTACGTGCAAATTTGTCTTTTCCGGAGCAGAACTCTAAAACCGTTCAATATTTCTTCACCAAACTTGGCACATACATGGATCTGGTGGTGTACTGGTGCCTTTTGGTAGTTTTGGAATTGTGAATAAAATATTTTTGGCGTTTCCGTGGCAACAAGTTTGACTTAGCCTGAAATTGGTGGTTGTGCTCTTTTCCGGAGCAGAACTCTAAAACCATTCACTATTTCTTCACCAAACTTGGCGCATAGATAGATCTGGTGGTGTACTGGTGCCTTTTGGTAGTTTTGGAATTCTCAATAAAATATTTTTGGCATTTCATTGCCAACAAGTTTGACATAGAATGAAATTGGTGACAGTGCTCCTTTCTGGAGCAGAACTTTCAAAACCTTTCAATACTCTCCTTCCACTTTTCTATATACACACATAAATATTTGACATAATCATAACTCGTAGACATAATCATGAAGAGTATTTTGCCATTGAGGGGGATATTGATGACTTTGTCTTCTTGTTGCTATTTCAAAAATGTTCCACTGCTTTTAGAGAGTATAGTTCAATGATTGATTGATTCTTTTCTTTCCATTAAGAACAGTCCTTTATATCCTCCAAGATCTGACTATATTTGTGTGTTATTCAGGGCGAGGCAGATCACCGCAAAGGTGGTGTGTATGGGCCACAGATCCTGAGTGAAAACATTCACAGGTTTGCTGAGCTGCTTGGAGACCCAAACCTCAAGCCAAAGACAAGTGTGGTTGGTAATGGTGTTAACGACATCGTACATCCCAGGATTCTCTATGACCAAAATGGAGGAGATAGTGATGAGGAAGATAGTGACGAGGAAGACCTTCCTTACCCATTTTAGAGACAGGTGTGTGGAGAACATGACAGCTGTGTGAAGACATGTTACAGACAGGTGTGTGAAGACATGTTACATACAGGTGTGTAAAGACATGTTACAAACAGCTATGCGAAGACATGTTACAGACAGGTGTGTAAAAACATGTTACAGACAGGTGTGTAAAGACATGGTACAGACAGGTGTGTAAAGACATGGTACAGACAGGTGTGTAAAGACATGTTACAGACAGGTGTGTAAAGACATGTTACAGACAGGTGTGTAAAGACATGTTACAGACAGGTGTGTAAAGACATGTTACAGACAGGTGTGTAAAGACATGTTACAGTCAGCTATGTGAAGACATGTTACAAACAGGTATGTGAAGACATGTTACAAACAGCTATGTGAAGACATGTTACAAACAGGTATGTGAAGACATGTTACAAACAGGTATGTGAAGACATGTTACAAACAGGTATGTGAAGACATGTTACAAACAGGTATGTGAAGACATGTTACAGACAGGTATGTGAAGACATGTTACAAACAGCTATGTGAAGACATGTTACAAACAGCTATGAGAAGACATGTTACAAACAGCTATGTGAAGACATGTTACAAACAGCTATGTGAAGACATGTTACAAACAGCTATGTGAAGACATGTTACAAACAGGTATGTGAAGACATGTTACAAACAGCTATGTGAAGACATGTTACAAGCAAGTATGTGAAGATGTGCTACAGAAAGCTACCTGAACACATGTTACCGACAGGTGTGCGGAGAAGTGTTACAGACAGGTGTTTGGAGAAGTGTTACAGACAGGTGTGTAAAGACATGTTACAGACAGCTATGTCTAGACATGTTACAGTCAGCTATGTGAAGACAGCTACTTGAAGACAGGTGTGTGGAGAAGTGTTACAGACAGGTGTGTGGAGATGTGTTACAGACAGGTGTGTGAAGACATGTTACAGACAGGTGTGTGGAGGCATGTTACAGACAGTTGTGTTTAGACATGTGATAGACAGGTGTGTTGGGACATGTGATAGACAGGTGTGTTGGGACATGTGATAGACAGGTGTGTTGGGACATGTGATAGACAGTTGTGTTTAGACATGTGATAGACAGGTGTGTTGGAACATGTGATAGAAAGGTGTGTTGGGACATGTTACAGACAGGTGTGTTGGGACATGTGATAGACAGGTGTGTTGGGACATGTTACAGACAGGTGTGTTGGGACATGTGATAGACAGGTGTGTTGGGACATGTACCCAAAATCCACTGTTGTCGTATTTACAGACATCCAGGATTCAGAAGCATTTGTTGCATTTGCACTTCAATATTTTCAGTTGAATCAAGATGGTTATGTGAGTGCCACTTTATATCTTTATTGGAGGATTAGAACATTAAGTAAAGGACACTCAAGACTGGTATTGGCAAAACCAGTGTAGTACAGAAGAATGCAGCTGTTAGCTTCCAGCTGTGACCAATCAAACAATTTGAAGAAATTACCGCTGACTTGATGCAATAAATTCTTCCTTTCATTTCTCTGAAGTTGTTAGAAGTTGCTGTGTGTAAGATCTTCTTTACCTCCATCCTCCTCTGCAGCTGTCATAGTAGATCCTTATATGGAAAGTCACATGATCAAGTCATTATTTGTTCTGTTGTACTGAAAACAACTACAAACAAGAATGTTCTTGGCACAGTTCAATCTGTAGACTCTCAGCTCCCATGGGACAGAGTGTTAGATCAGGTAGCCACATCTGTACTGCCAAAGAAGGAACCCTTCACTGTAGTTTACCTTATAGAATTTCCAAATAGTTACCTTTTTTATAGATACTCTCAGAAACCAATTACTCAAATTACTCAAAATACCATACTTGGTGTCTAAGTTCCCCCAACAAAGTTTCATTTCCTAGAGAATGGAACATAACTTTGAGTAAAGGATGGTTGGGTAAGTTTATCACCTTCGAATTCAGTTGCTGGGAAGGATTCTGTGATGTGAAAATGAGTGGAAGTTGTAATAGGGAATTTTGTTACAGTGATAGCCCTTTATAAGGTGGGAATTGTGTTAAAGGGAAAGCCAGCTATAAGGTAGGAATTGTGTTAAAGTGAAAGCCAGATATAAGGTAGGAATTGTGTTACAGGGAAAGCTGTCTATAAGATTGGAATTGTGTTACAGGGAAAGCCGGATATAAGGTAGGAATTGTGTTACAGGGAAAGCCAGCTATAAGGTGGAAATTGTGTTACAGGTATAGCCAGCTATAAGGTGGAAATTGTGTTACAGGTATAGTCAGCTATAAGTTGGGAATTGTGTTACAGGGAAGTCCAGCTATAAGATTGGAATTGTGTTACAGGGAAAGCCAGATATAAGGTAGGAATTGTGTTACAGGGAAAGCCAGCTATAAGGTGGAAATTGTGTTACAGGTATAGTCAGCTATAAGATTGGAATTGTGTTACAGGGAAATCCAGCTATAAGATTGGAATTGTGTTACAGGGAAAGCCAGCTATAAGGTGGAAATTGTGTTACAGGTATAGCCAGCTATAAGGTGGAAATTGTGTTACAGGTATAGCCAGCTATAAGGTGGAAATTGTGTTACAGGTATAGTCAGCTATAAGTTGAGAATTGTGTTACAGGGAAATCCAGCTATAAGATTGGAATTGTGTTACAGGGAAAGCCAGCTATAAGACTGGAATTGTGTTAAAGCATATGCCTGTTCTAAGATGGGAATTGTGTTCGACAGATTGCCCATTTTAAGATTGAAATTGGGTTGAATAGATAGCCAGTTAAATATTGGGAATTGTGTTACAGGGAAAGCCAGCTATAAGATGGGAATTGTGTTACAGGGAAAGCCAGCTATGAGGTGGGAATTGTGTTACAGGGATAGCCAGCTATGAGGTGAAAAATGTGTTGAAGGGAAAGCCAGCTATAAGGTGGGAATTGTGTTGAAGGGATAGCCAGCTATTAGGTGAAAATTGTGTTGAAGGGAAAGCTTGTTAAAGTTGAGTGAATTAGTTGAGGGGAGTAGTAGTAGTTAGTTAGTAGAGTATTAGAGAAGCCATGGGCCTTGTGATGGCTAGTTAACTGAACGTTCATTTGAGAATGCTTGCTGGATACTACATTTTGTGTGTGTACTGGGCTCCTGCCAACAGGGAAGATGTCTGCTGGGAATGAAAGGGACCAGTATGGTCGATGAGATGTGTGTGTGTGTGTGTGTGGAATGTGGTATGTTAGTCGATAAGATGTGAATATTCTGCATGTGATGTATTACATGTATGTTTTGTATGGAGCTTCTCACAATATGTATGACAATCATATTACATGAAACTATATTTCATGGTAAATTGGTATACATGTTGAAGTTAGCAGGTCTTCTGTAAATATTGTACAAGTATTTTTACAGATAAACATATTTGTTGGGAATATCATGGTGTTGTGTTTGTTTCTGTCCTTGCTATGTATTCCTTGGAAATACTGTGGAATTAGAATTAAAGATTTAGAGACTCACTCACTCACTCACTCACTCACTCACTCACTCACTCACTCACTCACTCACTCACTCACTCACTCACTCACTCACTCACTCACTCACTCTCACACTCACTCACTCACTCACTCACCACTCACCTCACTCACTCACTCACTCACTCACTCACTCACTCACTCACTCACTCACTCACTCACTCACTCACTCACTCACTCACTCACTCACTCACTCACTCACTCACTCACTCACTCACTCACTCACTCACTCACTCACTCACTCACTCACTCACTCTCTCACTCTCACTCACTCACTCACTCACTCACTCACTCACTCACTCACTCACTCACTCACTCACTCACTCACTCACTCACTCACTCACTCACTCACTCACTCACTCACTCACTCACTCACTCACTCACTCCAACCATGCCCAGACAACTGCCAGTTTGCTAGTCCAGGCTGGAACATGTCGTGTTCTCCTGCTATAAAATGATAGTGTTGCTGACTTGGACACGAAAGTAGTCTACACAACTCTCAGTTTGCACCATATCGGGTCAACTTTGACATTACTTAGACAGATCAATTTGCATTGATCCTGAGAAGGAATGATTGCTTTTCTACTAAGACGTCCCTGTGATTACTGATTAGTTCCCTCATGTAAAAGTCAGTTCTTGACTATACAACCAACAACAACCACCAGCAACATTAATTTTGAAAAGAAGTGGGTCATGGGTTGACAAAATGGTCACCTTGACATTCGAAATGTGAACTATCTCCTTTAACTACACCTGTCTGTCATTCAGCACAACAAAATGTAAGAAAGTAAGAAAGTTTATGGATAACAACTTCTTTATTATATGTGATGCGATGTTTCGGTATGGATTCTTATACCGTTGTCAAGCAAGAGTGAAGTGCTACAGCACAGAACAGACTTATATACATGAACAGGGATTAAGTAATAACAACATGTAGGACTGAATGAGGGGGATTAACAATAACAACAAGGCACGGTGGCAATAATGTAGTGACAATAGGAAGCCAATGGTGGTGGAGGTAGAAATAAAATATACATGCTGATGAGATTAATTAACAATGATAGCTGAAGTGCTCTAATCTGTTGTTTTTATGAGATCATTGTACGCAGAAGGGATGAGATATCCCTGGTCTCTGTTGATTGAGGGCTTGTGTCTCCGGATTTGAACTGCTTCTGCAAGTTTTCTTTTGGTGAAGTCCTGGTGGTTTTTTGATAATATCTCCACATTGTCCCAAATTATGTTGTGATTGGGACAGTTGATGATGTGGTCTAATAGTGCTGATTTTCTGTCAGATTTAGTGGTAGATGATAAGTGTTCTTTGATTCTGATATTTATGGGCCGGGAGGTTTCGCCTACATAGGCCTCGCCACAGTCACAGTTGATTTTGTAGACAACACCTTTGGGTTGATGTTGTCGTTTGGAGGTGTTCCTGCCATTAGCTTTCAGTAGGGTTTTCAGTGGTGTAGAGCTGGTAAAGTAGGTTTCGATGCCTGCTTCTCGCTTCAGGTGACGGCTGATGTGGTGAGAGGTCTTCCCTATGAAGGGGAGGGAGATACGAATAGGTGCTGGTTCAGGTTTGTTGGAGGCCGGTTTTCTTGTTGGGTGGAGTGTGGTGCTGATAATTTCATCGACTAGTTTTGACGGGTAGTGGTTGAACTTGGTGAAAACATGGCGGAGGTGCTGTATTTCTGTAGTGGGACTGGTGGAGGAAAGTTTGATGGCTCGTCTGGTGAGGGTGGAGATAATGCCAGTTTTTGTTCTCAAGGGGTGGTTGAAGTCAAAATGAATGTATTGGTCGGAGTGGGTTGGCTTTCTATAGACACTGGTTCGGATCTTGTTGGCTGAGGTTATTATCCATAAACTTTCTTACTTTCTTATTAGTCACCAACTTCTAAATGCCAATCAAACAGAACAAAATGTACTTTGAATTGCACAAATCTGACCACAATATTTAAGGTTTTCGTTTAATACCTGACATTGTATGTCCTTGGTGCCAGTTGAGTGTATCACCACAACTCTACACATCAGTCACTACAAAATATTGAATGAATCACTACTAAAATATATAAAGTTAGTTGGACACATGTTTGACATGGAAGATCAGAATTTGTTTATGACGAGGAATCAAATGCAAATTCCTTAAATAATTTATCCCAGTTATCAGGATATATATGTATTTTGTTTGGTGATTTACTTAATTTGAGAATGTGATTCAATCAAACCTGTTGATTACTCTGAAGGTAAATAATACGTTGGCAAATCCAGCAGTATTAACATGAAAATAGGAGTAACTCGGAGACTTCTTAAAGGACATCCTGACAGTAAATACTTCTACCTACCACCATCCTGAATACTACCTCCTCACTGATGTCTCCAGAATCAAAGCTCCTTGTGGCCTCTACCTCCTCTAGACGTGGAATGCATAAGAAAAGCAAGATTTATGAATGTCAACTTCTTTATTGTGACTAACACGACGTTTCAGGGTGTATGCTAACAAGTACGCTTGCTCCTTCATTATCTGATGGAGCAAGCATAGACTCGGAAACGTCGAGTTATTCACAGTAAAGAAGTTAACATCCATAAATCTTGCTTTTCCTGACTTCTAGCTCCTTCTGATTACAACCTCCTGACCTCTATCTCCTTCTGACTACAACCTCCTGACCTCTACCTCCTTCTGATTACAACCTCCTGACCTCTACCTCCTTCTGACTACAAACTCCTGACCTCTACCTCCTTCTGACTACAACCTCCTGTCCTCTACCTCCTTCTGACTACAACCTCCGGACCTCTACCTCCTTCTGACTACAAACTCCTGACCTCTACCTCCTTCTGACTACAACCTCCTGTCCTCTACCTCCTTCTGACTACAACCTCCTGACCTCTACCTCCTTCTGACTACAACCTCCTGACCTCTATCTCCTCTTACTACAACCTCCTGACCTCTACCTCCTTCTGACTACAACCTCCTGTCCTCTACCTCCTTCTGACTACAAACTCCTGACCTCTACCTCCTTCTGACCGCTACTACCTGACCTCTATCTCCTTCTTACTACAACCTCCTGACCTCTATCTCTTGACTACAACCTCCTGACATCTACCTCCTTCTGACTACAACCTCCTGACCTCTACCTCCTTCTGACTACAAACTCCTGACCTCTATCTCCTGAATACAACCTCCTGACCTCTACCTCCTACTGACTACAACCTCTTCCTGGTCTCTACCTCCTTCTGACTACAACCTCTTCATGGTCTCTACCTCCTTCTGACGACAACCTCCTCCTGGTCTCTACCTCCTTCTGACGACAACCTCCTCCTGGTCTCTACATCCTACTGACGACAACCTCCTGACCTCTACCTCCTTCTGACTACAACCTCCTTCTGACCGCTACTACCTGACTGCTACCTCCTGCCCGCTACACCGCTCCGACACTGCCTCCCTCCGCCTGCTACCTCCTTCTCTCCGCTACCTTTCTCTTCCTCCTCGGTTTTAGATATACTTTATTATTTTGTCACACAACCTATCATTATTTACAACCTGTGGCATATACATGTACACACGTATATACATGTACATGTATTTCAACAGAGACGATGAATTGTCCGGTCATGACGTCCGGTAAGGGCTGTAAATGTACATTATGAGCACAGAACCTTCTTGAACAATAGGATTAACGAGCAAATGAAGGTAACTCAGCGAAGCGGTGATTGTAGTGTCATATGTTAAAATTTAAAGGTTAACCGGGAAACCAACAAACAAGAAATACTATGGAATTCACAATTGTATTCGACTGACTGAGTTTGGTTTCACGCCGCTTTTAGCAATATTCCAGCAATATCACGGCGGGGGACCAATTGTATTCGAAGTTCACAAAGTAATTACAAATCAATAGAAGGATATCAGCCTGGCAGAACAAAATTAAGAGGTAATATAATACAAAGTCAGTGATTAGCAATAGTAATCTAACTTGTAGCTCATCCTTGAATCTTGGCTAACTGTTCTGAACAATCTAGACAAACAAATATGTTTTGGTGTGTAGAATTGCAAGTCAGTAACAGAACCTTTAACAAGGTACATTTTTATCTTCAAGGACATGGTACTGTTGATACGTGTTCTGAATATCCATTTATGACTTCATCCCAGAATAAAAGGTTGTATCCTTTTCATCAATAGGCATACCTGATGTGTTCAGTATGCGGCTATCACAACCATCCACATATTTCAGTCTTTGTGACGCACCTTCATCACTAGATTCAGCAATCACAGCCATGCTGCAGTCTTTGCGACGTACGTACATCACTAGATTTTGCAATCACAGCCATACCGCCGTCTTTGTGACGTACGTACGTCACCAGATTCAGCAATCCCAACCATCCACATACTGCAGTCTTTGCGACGTACGTACATCACAGTCATACCGCCGTCTTTGTGACGTACGTACGTCACCAGATTCAGCAATCACAACCATCCACATACTGCAGTCTTTGTGACGTACGTACATCACTAGATTTAGCAATCACAGCCATACCGCCGTCTTAGCGACGTACGTACGTCACCAGATTCAGCAATCACAACCATCCACATACTGCAGTCTTTGTGACGTTGCACCCCTGGATGGGGGTGTTGGTCGTTGCCATCAAAATGGCTGAAAACAGACAACAGTGTGATTTAGTTCCAGCGTCAATTCATTCTTCACCCCAATAAGATGGCGTCAAGGTGCGACGCTGGTGACGTCACATCTGCTGGTCATGTCACACCTACGCATTACCTCACAACCAGTTATGTATTCTGAACGAACGTCTGTTGGTTCGACTCACAAAAAATATGGGGGCTACCTAATTCAACATAATTTTCGCTTAAACTTACCACAAATATATATATGTCAATTCTAATAGGCTGACAC